TATATCGAATTTATATTGATTTAAACTGGATTTAAATAAATTTAAATAATTTTACAAAATTTAAATTTATGTAAATCCAATTTAAAATTATTATAAATTAACGGCAAATTCCCACCCTTAATCCGAACTGGAAACTGAAACTTGGGACTGAAACTCTCCCTTCATATTTTATAGCAAGGTGCGTCGACTTTTCGAGCCCGCCATCGATATAAATTAGCTATTCACATCAAATCTGTTTTTCATCTTAATTTCAAAAAAGAAAAAAAAAGCAAGTTTATAACACATCTAACATAAAAATGAAATTTTTATTTTTCTTGATTCAGGCAGCTGCCTAAGTAGAGCAAGAGAATAAATTATTTGATCAAGGTTAAATTGAGCGATACACGAGAAAGAAATCGATAGAGATATAAAGAGAACAATCAATCGTTTATAGTCAAGTCGAAGATAAGATATCTATTGAGTCTTTCGCAAACACATTCTTCTGACTTGAAAATATCATAAAAAAAACCATTTTCAGTAGAGAAAATTCTTGGATGCAAACAACAATTTTGTAATGATGAACTGGCAAAAATCCAGTTCTGTCCGGCCCGGTTTAACTTCTTGTCCGGTCCGGTCCGGCCGGACCGGAGCCGGATTGTCGGACCGGTTCCAACTCTGATCCTATATATACTAACGACATGTGGAGATTGCAGATAAAGACGCTAAATGCACCAACATTTCTATCAAAATCTCTTAAATTTATATTGACTTTTACTCCAGTTGAAGTGCTCTGATATAAAAAGCTACGTATTATTTTATCGCATCTCATTTTAATTACATCAATTCGCTCAAAATAGAAGCATATTCGAAACATGTCTGCACTGCGATGTATTACGATTGCCTGCTTTGTACTGTTTGGTATGTTCAATGTTGAACAAGAATTGCAGAGAAAAATAAAAGAGAATGTGTCCTGACTTTTCAAAAACATCTCATTTGTTGTAGTGTTGAGTGATCTTGGTGATGGCCTCAAGTGCTATCAATGTACAGGTTGCAACAATCCATTCAACCCAAGTGATGCGAGGATAGTGGAGGAACTTAATAGCAACCAATTTTCGTGTTCGGTGAGTTTTCATTTCTATTAACATGCACTTGTGCACCTTGATATTGAAAATAGAAAATAACTGCTCGAAACGTGGCTACAAAACGTGACATCATCAAGTCTTGTGTACAAGCCAACATTGGCGGGGTTGGTACATGGTGCTGCAATAAAGATCTATGCAATGGAACCACTCATCAAGTGTCGTTGGGATACCTCGTATTGTTCATGGCCCTTGTCTGTGCTACTATATTTTTCAAAAGACAATAACAACAATATTGTTAACCTTTAAGACTTCAGAATTTCTTATGATTGACTTTGCGTGAAAAATGAAGGCCGAACTATTACATATGAGGGGATGAGAATTGACGAATAAAACTCGAAGCATATCCAACTTGCTTACAAAGATTGATGTTTCATTAGTGGTTAAATGAAGTATCACTTTTACCACTTATTTCAAACGAGTGCTTATGAGCATGTTTTTCACAAAGAATCAGCCAATGGCAAAGTCTTCAATTCAATAAAAGAGATTGTAAGGTGAGAATGGGTGAGTGTCAGGGTAAAAAAAGACCGGCATTCACACCCTCATGGGAATAAAAAAGACAATCTATCATAAAGATCGGGGTGTGGGTCCCAGTTAGTTGAGGAAATCCTATTCTGCCGTTAAAACGATGTTTAATGTCCCATCGTTTAAACGACGATACATTGTCCAAATTACGCGTTTATCACAAAAAACGATTTTCTACGTCATAAAGTAATATTATATTCTTGTCGTTTAAACGTCGGATTGTAAATGTCATAAATAGTGATTCGTTGACGTTAAAACCATAATTTTTCTTTATTTGATCTGTCGTAAACGATTCTTTACTTGAGAAAAAGGTTTAATATTCAAGAACCATCTTCGTCTTACTTGTAACTTGACCATTCATCTAATTTTATTAATTTAATGATGGACAATACACGTTCATTCTTTTTCTCAATATCTCAATACATTCCGATGAGTAGGTCTCATTTTGTTTTCGAAAAAGAAGAAGTTAAATTTCTAACAACTCAAAATATTTATTTAAAGAAACGAAAGTTCATGCATCTATAAAACATAAGATATGAATAGAAGTCTCTTCTACAAACTTTTCTTTTTGTATTGATATTTGTTCAAAAGACTTCTACTCATGCCTTATGTTTTAAAGATGCATGAACTCTCACTTCTTTAAATAAATATTTTGACTTTTTTGAAATTTAACTTTTCTGTTTTCTTGAGAATACAATGAAATCTTTTCATTAGAATATGTTGAGATATTACAAAAACCTGACTGCACTCTTTCTCCTGACACAGCAATCGTTTTTTAAATTTTTTTTTCTATATTGTTCGTAGATAATTAAAATTTTGTCGATCGCTCAAGGATGATGCGCTTGTCTTACATCTGATAAATTTTCTATCGAAATCTTCTCAAGTTTTCGTTATTAATTCTCAAATCTAGTTTATTTTAATACCTATGGAGAAATATATGATTACCTACAAAGTTGTGATTTATGATAATCTCGATGAATAATGAAAGAAGAATCTAAATTAGTTTATTAGTATCAGATATGTATATGATAATGAAAGTTGGATTTGTAAGAAGAATCAATGAATTGATACGACAAGCGAAAAATTCTATGGGAAAAATACCATAGATAAAATGATGTCAATTTTTTGGTTTATTTTATTAAAAGCAAATATGAAACAGCTACACTATTGACGTACTTCTAAAATTTATTCATTGTTCAGACTATTTTTTTTTCTCATTCTTTAACAGTCGTCTGTCGTAGATAAAAAATAATTTATTGCTACAAAAGTTAATAGAGCAGCTAAGTTTTTTATTTGATTACTGTAATCTTTATGACTTGCGCATATTTATTATCTAGTTGTTCTTTTAAGATTTATACTGAAAACGGAATATATACTCAGCATTATATTCTTTTTATGGTATAAGAGTGAAAAAATTAAAGTTTCTTCGCGTAAGAGTTTCAATCGACGACGAACTCAGTAAAATAACAAACTCTAAAAAGAAATCATTAATGAAACTAAGCTATTTAACATTTTTTTTCAACTGATTTATTAAGATCAATCAGTGTGACGTTTCGTTCTAACTAAGAACATTATCAAACACAAATAAATAGACAGAAGAAGAATATACAGGGTGATTGAAAAGTAACTTCCTATTTTAAATTCTTTAGTACTCTCAAATGACAAAAGATATCGTAACGATTATTTCATTGTTTTGAAGCATCTGTCATGCCATTTTATAGTAGATGAAACAAGCCTATTGATCATTTGACTATCTAAGATCAAGTACGAATTTCATCTCGAGAATCTCTGAAAATAACTCATTATTTTGAATACTGGTATTTCCTTATATAAGAACACATACTATAATAACCACAGAAGTGTACAGACAATAGAGGAGCCTATGTAGAAATTTGAGACATTATATGTTATTGTATTATGCATAGTTTTAAATAGTACAAAAAATTTGTTATAGTATTTGTTGTCGTAAAAGAACAGTAAATTATTCCAAATAAAGAGTTATTTTGAGACATTCTCGAGATGAAATTTCGTGCTTGATCTTAGATAGTCAAATAATCAATCGGCTTGTTTCATCTACTATAAAATGGCATGACACATGCTTCAAAACAATGAAATAATCGTTATGATATCTTTTGTCGTTTGAGAATAATAAAGAATTTAAAATAGGGAGTTACTTTTCAATCACCCTGTATATAAGAGTAAAATAATGTCTTCGTTTTTCTATTCTATTGTTTTAAACATTCTAACGCAGACGGATCAATTTTACTCCCCCCGTGCATTGAAATGCTTAAAACAATAGAATAAAAAACGATGACATTATTTTACTCTTATATATATATATTCTTCTTCTGTCTATTTATTTGTGCTTGATAATGTTCTTAGTTAGAACCAGTGGCGTACGCAGAAATTTTTCAAGGGGGGCCCAACTTCGTAGGGGGGGGGGGGGGCGGCCATGGTACAAAAAATTTTTTATCACATGAAAATATTTTTTTCCTGTACCCCCTCCAGGACTTTTTCGTCTCAAGGGGAGGCCCGGGCCCCCTCGGCCCCCCCTGCGTACGCCACTGGTTAGAACAAAACGTCACCCTGATTGATCTTAATAAATCAGTTTAAAAAATGTTAAATAGCTTAGTTTCACTAATGATTTTACTATGGAATGTGGTGCTACCAAATGACAAATAAGTTCTATATTATATATTTTTTCTACAAATATCGTATTTTGTCAACTATCTCGATGAAATGTACAAGAAAGTTTTCCACAAATACTGTCCTTAGAAAAAGCAAAAATAAACGCAGAACGTAAGGTGAAACTAAATCCTCTACATCATTCAATTCTGAAGACTTCTTCTATTAGAGTTATCTGAATCTTTTTGCTCATGCTTTCTAAGCTCGACCAACGGTCAATGAGAATCCTTATTCACAATTAGTATACAGTAAATATGTGAATTTCTTCGTAATCTGAATAGTAATTTAGATTAAATTCAGATATCATTCATGTATCTTATCTTTGTGTGCATTCACATTGCTCGCAGAAGTGATGTTTACTTATTGAGCAATCTTCATCGAATGAATGAATGAATCTGCTGGACAAATTTATTTTCTCTTTTGTCCTTCTCAAACTTTATTCTTTTTTTCTTCCTCTTCTCTGACTTTTTTTCTTTTACTTCTTGACTTAAATTTTTCTTTTCTTCCCTTTGCTTTCCCTATCTCTCCAATTTGATTAAGACTAACAATCAATTACTAAGCATATGAGATCCGTTCTGTTTATGCCACATACATTTGTCGAATATATATTAACTGAAAATATTACTCTCTTTTGACTTGGCTAGAGTTTCTAATTGGATTATGTAGCTCATAATTAATAATGTTGTATTGCTTGTCATAAAACGAGTTTCAATTAGCTCATATACTGATGAGTTGATAATTTATGATGAAAACTCTAATGCAGCAATTTTATACTTGAGAATATTAGGAACTTATAATTTATCGTACGTTTCGAGCTTTGAACATAATCAAAAAAAAAGGAGGATTTCGATGTGAAAATTGAGACTTTAAATCAATAAAATCAACCTGTATTTTCTCGATATTCTAATGTTCGCACCAACACATGATTTTGATTCATATGATGTCAATGTTATGCGGATTCTTACTTTAATCAAAGGAACTCTTTTTCACTTAATTAAATATACAGCGAATACTTTTTTTGAAGTAATTCAGCAGATCAAAAGGTAAATGGAAGCTCCAAACGGACTAAATGTGTTTCACGCGTACTGTGAAACAATAAAAAATACAAGTTCACGAGAATATAAATAATTATGGGAACCAGTCCCAACAAAAAAGATTAATCTACTTTGAGCATTTACAGCTGTTTTGATTGGAAAAGATGATCATAAACATTTCTCACTGTCTTTTACGAAGAAGAAAATGACTTATACAACCGTTTCAGGGACTATTTAATGTGAATAACGCTTGGAAACGCTGACTAGACGTAAAAACGGCAAGAAAAGTGATGATCACGTTTTTTCTTGCCGTTTATCACTGTTTCCTAACAGAACGGGTGATTATGACAGTTTAAACGGCATTTTCAGCGTTTCACTTCTTCCTGGGGTGTGGGTGTGTGGGTGAGCGTGAGTGTGAATATATCAGAAGGCAACATCGAAACTGACACTCACACCCACACCAACACCCACTCGTATTTTTCTAGAGTCAATTTTGATGCTTGTTTTGTAACTATCTTACATATTAACATCCGACTAATTAAAAAGTCAATGACAAAAACTTCAACAATATTTATTCACATTTTGTTTGTATTCTTTTCTAGTGTACCGAATTCGTTACGGAACGCGATCCAATTATCACTATCTTCATTATCCAATACAGCAAAGACCACTTGTTGCAACGATCCACCCCTGTACTCTTTCTTTTCTAAACATTTTCTCCACAGTTTTGCTTCCACATATGGATTATGACGAAATGCTCCACAACCACTGGCACCAGCAACTAAAGTATGTACTTGTTTTGTTAAACATGTTTTCAGAACACCCTCAATGTCGATCATGCATCTCTTCTCTATTTCTTCTTGGTTTTTCACGTTTCCCATTAACGAATAAAAATAATTGCGTTCAGAATACGGATGGAATATTGGAATGTAAGGACGAAAATCCGTAAAAGCTGTGGCGATCATTCCGCAATCGACATGGAATGGACCAGTCACGAATTTGGTTATCGCCCAATAATTTCCGCCCGGAGGTATATGCATACCCATCTTATAAGTTACCCATCTCCCTCGTATCCATGATTTCAATCCTGTTTCAACGAATTCACCTATCGTACCTAATAATACAGCTCCATCACAATTGGTTGCGACTTCTTCTTCTTGGGATCCACCAAAATCAACACTATAACTACCACACACATTATGACTAGCCGCAAAATTTAGCCATGCAATCAGCTTCGGCTCATTTTGCATACTTTGATATAATTCTTCGACTGCTTCTTGTGTACCTTGTCGTGTAACTCTTATTTCTAAATCGTGATAAGATTCTGGTGAATCCGATTTGTGCTCACAATTTGGAGCAAACCAATCAAAAAGTTCCAGAGATTGCAAATGTCGAATCATCTCCAATTTTTTTTTCTTTCTCTCATCTACATTGTCTATAAACTTACCATCCCATCCAATATCATCACGCGAGCCAATTGCATACACTCGACTACGAAGAATTCGACGATCGGCATGACTCTTGGACACGCTCAATTGGCGCCATTCTGATTGTTCCATTTGATTTGTCAGGCTAATGGCAAAATTTTGAAATTCTTGACCATGTAAGTCAAAGAAGCGTGATCCATAATTGCGACGAGAGTGCCACAATTTTTTATATTGTTCAAATATAATACTTATTTTGTCTTTGGCATCGGGTTGTAGCAACTCATTGATCCATTTGCGGAATATACTTTTTTGTTTATCATTTTCCTCGAAACGTAAGTAGAATTGGTTCCAATTGTCTTCCTCATTGATATTGGTATGGATTTGTTTGTTGATAACGGTTCCACAGGAAAATAACTCTGCATAGTCGTCACGTATGCGTGGAACAGTTTGTGAATTCATTACCAATTAAGTAGTAAGTTTTAATACCTTCACTAGTTGTCTCTTAAATAGAAAAGTTTGCAGAGAACTGTAATAGATTCGGAAAATCAGAGACTAATATCATAAGTTAGTGCAAAAAAAAGACAATTAGCAACATCGTCACGGCTAACTCTATCATATACGACATTATTACATACAATAGGTTTGGATCACCGACAACCTAATAGATCGATTATTTTCACTTTGAGACTGAGAGAATCGATTTCAATCTGATTTTTTGCCAAATTTTTTTACATCAATGAGCGATGCATAAAGTTGGGAAATGTTTTACTCTACAACGTAAAGATTTTTATTTCAAATGGTAATTAAGGAAAGTCTAGCAGTTTATTCGTTTGAATAACATTGTAAACATCGCTGTCGAACAAAATGACTTTATCGCTACGAATTATACATGTTTTGTTTAAGGTAAAGTTAGGCTTGACTTTATTACTATTCGTAACTAATCTTTTAGCTACACAATAAGACATTTATCAACTCTGGTTTTTATTGGACTGAAAAACGATAACTTTGATAAAACGTTACATACTTACGTGTTTTGTTTTCTACTGTACACGTGGACAGGACGATTTCGATTGCTGATATACAACTCACCTCTACCTACTTTTTTTTCACGCTAGAATAAAATCTCAAATGTAATGGTTGTGAAATTACAATGATTCATACCTTTTTCTTTTCTCTATTCAACCTATGAGTACAGAAATAAAGAATGAAAGGTTTTGTGTAGTTGTGCTGACATCATTACAAAAATACTAAGTTTCGCCTCGGACGGTATTTTAAGCTGAAATATTAATAAGAAAAAATAGATTCCTTCTTCATTACAATCATACACACATGCCTTGCAACAAGATTGATATTAACAAAAACTATACACATCAACTGCAAAGACATACAGACATTCTCAAATGAAACGAGAGTGTGGGTATGACTCTCAAAATGCCAAGATCCGGCATTTCATGTCTCCGAAAAACTGGATGATCTTGTCTTTTCGAGAACATGATATCCGGATTTTAACATTTAGAGACTCACATCCTCATCCACGATCATTCTCAAGAAACTCTGATTTGAGTGCAGTAAATGTAAAAGCGTTTGCCGATCCAATCTGTTGCTATAGTGTTTTCAAAGTCAAGTAATCAGTTGACGATCATTAAACGCACGTGATTTCGTCACTTCTTCCTTGACACATTTTTTTCTTATTGAAAAATACAAATAAATTCTTGTACTACCATAAACATCCAGTCTTGTACATAATAGAAACATCATGCGTTTTTGACAACAAAAGACAAGCAAACATTAAACTCAATTTTTTAATGCAAATACTATTTGAGAATGTTTTTGCTTTTGCGTTGTGATTTGATTCTTTTGGTTGATTGTGTTTGCCTTTTCATTATTTTCGACTCATTCGTCCGATGAGAATAATAAGTATGATTCATTTTGTTTTTCAGTAATCAATAGAACTTGTCGGCGATTACATAGGATGAAGAACGTATTGACTAGAATTCGAAATTATCTAGAGAACTTTTGAATGATTTTCTTGTAATTGAATCAAATCGAATCAATGATGTTTTGTAGTTTATAATTAATGTTTATTATTATAAACTGAAGATGTGCTACAATTTGAATTGAAACTTAGCGCAATTTCACAATTCTTCTCGATAAATGTATCAAAGCCAACATTTGAACACTCAAGAGCATTGAGTGATCAGTAAAATCGAATCGTGTTCTCTGATTTTCAACAAGAAAGATTGAATTAGTATATAGAAGAATAAAATTTACGATGGAATTTGACTCGTGAATAGAGCAAAGTTGGTAAATGAAACCTGTTCTATGCCAAATCAACTCAATATTGACACAATGCAAAGTGGGAAAAAATGTTCTTGTATAAATCTCTTATTTTTTTTTTTGCTCTTTCTTCTTTCATTGAGTTTCTTTCTTTCTTATTCAGCACTTAAACGCAAGACTATACGATGGCAACGGTACTGTACAAATTGATCTTCAACATACATGATTATTAGAAATTCTTTTTTAGGCACGACACAATCGTGACATTTCATATGAATATTTGCAAAAAATTAAAAAGTGTTTAATGGTGCATAATATTCATGAAAATACTAGCAAAAAGGATATTAAAAAAATCATTGCAAAAAATATTAGTTTGAAACCAACTGTAATTGATGTCCACTTCCCTAAACCACATTGTGAGTCATATTAGTAAGACACAAACACATATTTTTCACAATTCTATTTTCAGTCATTCACGGTAAACAATCTCAATGTGCCATTGTACAGTTACCATCTTCAACAGACGTAGATTCGATAATGAAAGTACAACAAACGATTCAATTTCGTGGAACAGAATCATTTATTTCACGAATGATTCCAAAAGATTATTTCTTATCACATCAAACCACTACTGGTTTATTAATTCAAATACAGGAGAATAGACAACTTTCGGACGAGAAATTAGAAGCCATTTCGCAATATTTTGAACGATACGGTTCGATTAACTGTAAAGAATACATTAATGGACAAGATATATATGTCATTTTTCATAAGTAAAACTTTTCGTTGCTACTCAAAAATCTATTATTTCAAAACTTTTATGTTCATTTCAGTTATGATGCAGTCGATCAGATTATGCTCAATGGAGAAGAACAAATGATCGATGGATATACTGTCCGTGTACAAAAAGTTCGCGTACCGACAGAAAGACGTATGTAAAACGAAGAGATTTTGGAAAAAGAGACAAAGGAAAAGGATTGATATGGAGTTCATTCATTAGTTGATGTTCTGGATTTGTTTTTTCTGATTTTCGTTGTTTTTGAACGATCACAAACAAAAGCCTTTTTCTGTGTATAGGAGCGACTATTTAGTCTGATTTGAAGGTGTGAGTGCAAGAGAAGACAAAACACACATCCACACTTTTTAGCTAGAAATTTATCCTTATATAGATGAAATGCTAATGTATATGCTCTAAAAAAAAACTTTCAATGAAAATGTGTACAATGACATCTGGTAGAAGGATTCGATTTCATCTTCATGCAAAAATTATCAGGCGCGAGTATAAAAGGCTTTTGATACAAAATATTATAAATACCCAGTGCAAGCCTTCTTAGAAGTTTCAGTCTTACCTATGAAAAATTTCTGTACACGCTATTGCATGTGTAGTGAAGTTTTTTATGCAGCAATTGTTTAAATTTCATATTTCTTCACAAAAATTTAAACTGTTTGAATAGCTAATCGATAAACTATTATAAACTAATCAAATGAATAGAAAAAGAAGCTGCAAATTGAAATTTATAATAAGATTATTCTTTTGCGATTGTTAATACAAAGATCGAATAATTTTTCCACGTCAATCACAATAAGTTTTTATCCAAGCTACCCGATTCATTCTTTCTGCTTATACTTTTTGAAAATTATCAACACTTGTAAAAGTGTTCATGAGTATTTTCATTTGAATTTTTCGAAGCAACCACGTTGACTTCTACGTTGGATGATGTATTTCAATGTGTTGTAATTTCGAACAGTTCTATTGTGCACGTAGAATCGAATGGGTTTCATTACTTTTTTTTCAGGTGCTATTCTCAATTCAAATGATCAAGAATTTTGTATTCACATATCAAATCTATCAACGAAAGTGACAAGTGAAGATCTTGCATCATTGTTCAATGTACATGTTGCCAATGTTTTAATACGACCATTCAATCAATTGACTGAACATCTTGTAGAAAGTCAAAGAACACCATATGAAGCTTGGATCATTAACGTTGGCAATAGAAAAGAGACACAAAGGCTAGCCAAACAAATTAATGGCAGAACAATGAATAACACAATAATTCGATGCGAGGCTATAGAAGAACCACTAAAAGTATTCGAATTATGCGAAAAATTTCAAAATGGTAAATGTGAACATTCGATTAGTTGTAATATGAAGCATGTTTCATGTGTCAAATCTGATACATGTATCGATACTAAATGTTGGTATGGGCATCCATCGTCCCGAAATGTTGTATCGCAACGTCGGCCAACGTCAGGTAGATGAAAATAAAATACTATTCAATAGTACATACAGTCAACCAAAATATTATTCGTTCATCTCTATACCATTATCTTCATTTCTTTGCTTTTTGAAAACAACAAAAGCTAGTAAGCTCTATTTTTACCATCATATTGAGCATACAATCTAACTCCAATCTATACACAGGCATCATACGCATTCAATTTAATTTTGTTTTGATTTTACACAAAAAGACTCATATTGAAAAAGATATTATTATCGATCGAGGATTGATATTAAGACAAGGTTTCAATTTATTTTATGAGACTGTCCTGAAATGAATATATTGACTCCCGTTAGAACAACGTACTAATTCGAACATCATCAACATGAAATAGACAACAAATATAAGAAAATTGCATCTTTACCAAGTACATATTAATTAAATATTTTTCTTTTCCTTCACTGCGGTTTCCTGTCTAATACAGAGGTTGAGTCAACAAGAGATTTGCTATCAAAAATGATCTCAACAATTATGACGCAATTAAAATTATTACTATTTTTTTTTAACTAGATTTTTCTAGTATACGCTGTTCTACTCTGCCTGTTCTTTCGAAGTTGATTTATACTTGTCATGCATAATATTCTGAGAAAGATATTTTTTTAACGAATATTGAAGAAGATGAAACCAGTATTTCGCCTTTTTTCAAAATTTAATAAGTTCAAATACGTCCGATCGATATTTGAACCTAATATGGTGAAAGATTTCAATTGGTACGACTTTGTTTAGAATCGAAATTAAGCTTCATATTTTGACAAAAACTCTATTGCCTAACAAATCAGACAATATCTGAGAAATTAATCTTTTCTTGATTCGATTGAACTTTTCTACTACACTATGTTCATTTCAAAGTACTCTGATCAATCAAATTAAAACATTGCAGGCAATTCGATTTCACAGTATTGTGTGACTCAGCTCTGAGTCGCATCGTAGCGAATATGTTATAATCTTTCCCAATATCAATTCTTAATTAAAAATAATATGGAACAACATAGTTTCAGTTCTTTTCGTATAAAGTGAAACACAATTACATGGAATGCTCGGGATATCTATATATAAATTAGATTAGATAATACGCTTAGTATGGTGGTAGAAAATGAAATATACTAACTTTTTTTATGTTCAGATAGCACAGAGATGAGCAACTCATTTTTCGATCCACTATACATACATATATCTTCTTTTGGCATGAAACTAGTCACTTTTTTATTTTGTTTTACAGACGACGATGGCTATCGTATACGAATATCAGGTTTCCCGCTCGATGCTTCACCACTAGAAATCCTTAAACGATTGAATGTGCATTTTGTTAATATAGGTGATAATTTATGTTTACGCAAAGAATCACCTCAATCATCGAAAACAATTGCTTATTTGCTCGATCAAAAATCACGATACTTAGTTCAAGAATTAATTCATCGCTGGCACAATGAACCATTCTCCACATATTCAACGGACAAAATGCATTGCCAATTAGAACTTAATGTTGATTATTTTGATTATTCTTTCCAAGTTCATCTACCAGCAATGTCAGCGAATGGAAGCCTTATATCTTCTCGACCCTCCAATACGAGCCGCATAAGTTCTAGCAACAGAAGTCACTGTCGAAAGCCACCAGTAAAGACGGCAAGAATGATTCCAACTAATAATCATAATGACAACAGATATAATGGTTCATCGACGAATAATGTATTGGAACAAATCAAACTTCCTTTCCCATGGCATTTGACAAATACAAGACTATGGAGTTCAAGAAATGACAGTACAACTGATATCTATCATGTTACGAACAAAAAAAATCAACAGAAGAATGCTGCTTTACTGGTCTACTCAGCAGTGTCCGATAGAACACTTTGGTTACGTTTACAACATTGTCTAAATGTTCTCGAACGACTTAAAGGTCAGTGCATTCAGTTGTTTTCTGATTGAAACTATCAAATCTAAGCAGTGTCAAGAAGAATAATCAGACATATCTTTCTGCTAACATGAGTTCGTCAAGTAAATCAACTACAGAATAATTTAAAGCTCGTATCAATTTTTTAAAAGATTTCTTCAAAGATTATCAGAATCCTACAAGATTCACTTCCGTCTTGTGCCATCCTCATCTCGACTTTGCATGTATCTTCCTCGCTCCATGATAGACCTTAATAGAACTATATGACTTTCGTTTATCGTGAATTGTACTAATGTGATGCGGTCTGATTTCTCACCATATCTATCAAAAACTACCAATGTCCTTGTCTCTCCGATATACACTACAACTGACGAAATCAGGTTTAATTCCTTCCGTTTTAATTCTTATTCTCTTGCGCCAGACGTATATGTCTAATGTATTGATATTTGTGACACAATATAAATTATAAATGAATCTTACTTAAAGAAAAATCGAGATAGAAATATGTAAAGCATTTTCAAGCGTTTGTAAATTGTTGAGCACATTTGACATTTGCAGAAAATGAATCGTTTTCTAGAAAATAAAAATTTGATTTAATTTTTCTAAAATATTTATTTTCAAAAAAATAGAAAATCAATTGAACACTACTTGCTATATAGTTATTATTCTCTTACATATATTTTGCTTATGAGAGATAATAGATACTATTTTTTAAATCTCAAAACATATTGAATATTTCTGATTCTTTTTATTTTTTGTGAGCTCTGAAATATCCTTCATATATTACTCTTGCATCTACAATTGTGTAGCTTATTTTTGAACACTTTTGTTCTAGCAAAAGTGATCATTATATGGCATTACATTTTCACTAAAATTTTTTTTTCAAATTTTAGAAATCGATGGAGTGCCGAAAATCATTGAAAGCAATTTAAATACAATTGAAAGGTCGAACGCGAATTATAAATCATCGACAAAATTCTGGATTCTAATAGATTCCATCGAAACAACAACACTCTTTGATTTGGTTCATCAGCGAACACTTGGCATTGGAGAAATTTTAATCATTACTTTGAAACTAGTTGATTTAATCAAACAGATACACAATCAGAATGTAGTTCATAGAAATATCTCACCACAAAATATTCTAATCAATTACGACAGTTCAATGTCACCCAATCAAATCCATATAGGTTTAATCGATTTTGATTATGCTTGGATGGAACAAGAGAATATTGATTCGTCTAATTCTAATCAAGTAAAAGATACTATAGTCAATGATTTTTATCGAGTACCTCAATTCGATGTACAATCATCGAATACGAATGGTTACGATGAGAACATTGAAGAAATTGAATTTGATAGACGAAGTCGAACAATCGATACAAGTTGTATTTCTGCTATTCTTTATTGGATGACCACAGGACGTGAACCGAAATGTTCAATAGATCTTAATGGAAAAGCACCGCATCAACGAAATGGTGTTCAAGAAATAATTCATAAGAAATTATTATTGGAAGCAGGCAAAAAAATAACACTTCTTCTTTCTGCTTAGCTTTAAATGATTTCCTTTTTTCGAAACATTTTCGTTTAGGGGCATATTTAACATCATTATTCGAGAGGCATCTCAAACTTGTTTTCGATCGTGGTTTTGCCAAATGTAAACAACAATGGCCAAGTATTGAACTCGACTATCAACTTCAATTTATGTTTGAATTGATAACAAATACGAAAAATTCAGTTGATTCTTTACGAGCGTCGTCTATCACCACACCATCATCCGAAATGTCAGCTGAATCATTCATTCATTTCATATCGTTTATTAATAAAATCAAAAATGAATTTGTGAATCGATATACATCAATCGAATCTATTTCTTGGTTAAATGACAATAGCTGGTCAGGTGATAATCAAACTGTCAGAAGTTATAATACACTCCTCATTGGTGAATTTCGTTTGCCGATCAAGTTTGAAATTATACGTCATAGCAATTCGAATCAGATTCGACTCTCCGTTCAAATCAAAATAAATGATGCAACTATTATCGAACTTCCAACCGGTATTTATCAGGAAAATATGATGGAAAACGAACTAGATGATATTGTCCGTAGTTTAATAGTAGAATTTAAAACTTTTTATGTTGTACACTCAAAATTCCAAGAAAAATAAATCTAAACAATAGACGATGATACATGAAAAAAGTTAGCAGGTAACATCTTTGTTTCGTAAAGAAACCAGAGTTCGAAACATTCTGATGAAAAATTGTTCAAATCAGTATAAAATTCGATAATAACATTCTCATATGTGCGTTCGTTCTTTTTATTCAAGCTTTTAAGATAAAGTTTACCAAAGTTTTTTTGGGACCGAACTATTCAAATCTATGATTAGACTATAGAAATTTTTACGCGGTTTTTCCGAAAAAAACGGTCTTTCAGAAATAATTTGTTCCGTAATTTTACAGATTCACCAAATTGCGATGGCACTTTGCAAAGTGTTTCAAATGACTTGGAAATATGAATGATATACTAACGGCTTTATAGCGTTTGCATTCAGCGCATCATATCTCCAAAAATTGAAAAGGTCTCGATTTTTCTTACAAAAACTAAATATTCCTATATGAGATTGAGTCTATTTCACATTTTTGTAAGCTAATAAAGTAAAAGTTTTGTTGAATTATGAGAATTAATGTTCGAAGCAATTCAATGCAAGAAAGCTTGCTATGAGCACTGACATGTTGGACGAAATTTACAATACGCCAAGGAAAAAGTGTATGTGTGACTTCGTTCTTAGGTAACAGTGGTTATATTCAAGAGTTTTTTATTTTATTTTAATACATAGTTTTTACGAAAGTCATCAGCAATCGACAGATTGAAAATTTGCAACACAAACATTAAATATGTTGTAAATAATAAATGTCTTATTGTTCATAGATTACAACGAACTGAGAATATAGTAAAGTTCAAATACTCTAAGAAATTGAAGTAGAACATGCTCCAATTTTTTTTGCAATTATGTTTTCTTTCACAAGTTACGGCTTCAACTTGCATCTCATCATCTCGTGCCTTCAAAGTGTGTACACTTGAAACTAAAAGACGTCTTATTTGATCTCTTCTGGTTTTGATGCAGCGTTTTCATTCGTTATTCATTGTTACATAATGAAAATCAGCTATCACAAATGTGTTCAAATTGTCTACGATGCGACAGTCATCTCTGTTCAATACATTTTGGTGGTTCAAATACAGTGGAAAGTGGATAGTCATCGGTCATCCTCGCATGAGGAAGGTTTGAAATGGCAGATGTCAAGAAAATTATCTCTACTACCAATAGTGAACTATCAATAGATTATCGAACATGTTCGAAGGTCTGCGATATACGCACTCGCACATTTTAAGCACCATTTAACGTCCGCTAGATGTCTAAAAAGAGATTTATTGACTGATTTTACTGAAAATATATGATTTTTTTGCATTCTTATCTTGCATTTTTTAGTAGAAAATTGATAGATGTTCTAATGTGATTTTGTTGCGAGAGTGAGACTAACATAATAGAACGAGTAAACTATTTTTTTACTACTCATGGATTAAAAAGAAGATGGGTGTTGGTCATGACAGCTTGAAATATGAAGTTGCGTAAGAGGGGATATCTTAAATCTTTTCTTTGATGAAGCTAGGCTTGACCAGAAACAGCCTAATATTCGAACAACATGTTTAAGACTGAATAACTTTTGCATATGAAGATTATTTTATGTTACTGCGTTTCGTACAAAAATGCTTAATTCTTAGTAACACTTCAAACAAACTAAATTTTTTGAAACTTCGTGGCGGCCAGTATCTATTAAGAGTGTGAGTATGGGCTTGAGTGGGTGCAGGTATGAATCATCCATATTTGCTCAGCCACTCATACTCACCCAGTCACACACCCACAGTCCATCCGAAAGCTAATAAACAAACAGTTTATTCTTCTTCTTTGATCGTTTAGCAATGTTCTTAGTGAGCATATAAACATAGTTTTCTTTTTCTTTTTTTTACATGATATTATTCATTTTGGACAAGTCTTAGGTACAGGTAGTTTTGGAATCCATTGATTATCATAGAACAAAGGTTCATTTAGGGCAAAAAAAGTAGGACCGTTCTGTGTGAATGGTCTAATACATAATGGTGCTGTTGTCAGAAGAAAGCTATGTGTCATCAACCAACCTAGAAGTGGAGGTAAACGAATAGGCAAGTACGTTTCTATGCAACAGGCAATACCATGAAGAAGGAAAAAGACAAATGTGGGCAAGGCTGACGAAGGATCATTGAAGGCGATCAGAACGATGTGCACATGAAGAAAACCACTGACGATGAATATTATCAAAGATATGATCAATTTATGAGAAGGTATGAGTGAATTAAGAGGCTGAAAAATTGATTCCTTCAAAATTGTGCCAGCGATTCGGCTATGTCGTCGACCCCAATATTCACGCAATGAGAGAGAGAATAATGAAAAATTATTGAACGATTGAAGTGTGTATTTGTCTCGAGTAACTATTCGAATAAGAGCAATTTGAACGTCGACTACAAATGAAGCAGTTAACATCGATATGTAAAACATAATCATTCGTATATAGCCATCACTTGGTTCACATGTCAATAACCATCTATGTATCCAATGATTTACTATCAATTTCATGCTAGCAGAGATGAAATCAAAGATAATAGGCCACTGCTTTTCTATTGATTCACAAGGTATGATAGGAAAGAAAATCCAAAGACATTTAAAAGCAAATGAACGGAATGTATAGTATTTCTCCGGTGAAAACACGGTTACATGAATGAGACGAATCGATAACATCCAATAGGCTGCAATAGTAAAGACAGAATACATACGAAGAGAAGAAAGATCATGACAACCAATATGGGTCAATAACATGCAAGGTATGAGTGTCATGATAGCTCGAATCACAATGTGATGAATATGACGAATGAAATTGAAGCATATGACGAGATGTACGAGCCAACTAGCAGTGATGAATAACGGATGTACCATGTTGATAACTGTGTAAAAATCTTTTCAAATTCTTGCGAATGAAGTAGATTGATATTGTTCTCTTTCACTCGCTACTCTTTTTGAGGACGTGGTAGTTTATTATGTCTATCATTTTCTTTTTTCTTTTATTTGCACTCCTTTTTATCTTATCATCATGACTATATAGCAGCAAGCTTATCTTGAAAAGTTGAAAAACGCACATAGTATATTACTACAGAGAGCCAATTTATTTCTTAGTCATGAGGAAATCAAGGTATACAGGAATAAAATTTTGAAGTAGGTAAACATGGGCAGGAGTGGCTGCTAGTGCCGGTGCGGATGTTAGTTTTTCGATGGGTTAAGCTATTGCTAACACCAGCACAACCATACACTCATGCCCTCCCTCTTTTCGTTCTTTAAATTGTTCGATCGATGAGTGATAGAGTAAGCATAATAAGGGCAATATTTTTATGGAAAAAACCCAGACATCATAATAATCTATGCTTATTAGTTATTGAACGTGAATAGATGAGTGTGCACACGCCACATTTACTTCGTGACGTATAAATAAGCAGCGTAATACTTTTATCTTTTGCATAGAACAAACGTCGATACATTACACTTACTCTTGTCGTCAGCACACAATATTTTGCACGAATACAGCGAGCAAACGTAATTCTTTTAAAATTGCATTTTCTTCAAACCCAATAAGCCTGTGTAGTATTATTTTCATATCATAGTGACACTCATATCCACACTCTAAAACCCGTTGTAGCATCCACAAAATACGATATGACCGATTCTTCGACCTACTTGCGGTCCAGTTATGTTTTTTGTTCTATTCCATTTATGGCTGAAACAAAATCATTTTTTCGCAAAATATATCTTATGAGTCAACCAATCGTTTCAGGCAATTTTTTATTTTAAAATATTTTAATTAGTTGATAAAACAAATACTCTGTATACTTTTCGAATTCATAAACAGTTCTTTGACGATGGGCTTTTCCATGATTCGAGTTGATCTCTGAAAATCTAGTTTCATGAGAAGATAGACTAACCATAGATGTATGTATTCCAATACTTAAGCTTTGGAAAATAAAACTGGAGGTGATATTCGCATGGTTGTTTACTGTGACACATCCACACCCTAGTATTTCTTCAACTTAAATGTTGCGATATTTCGAATCCAAGTGACTGCAAGCACTGTATGAAAACGAGTTTAAAAACATTCTATCCCGATATCCATTTTTTTGTCATTTTCGGGTCAAATTAAAGAGAGATTGCGAGTGAAATATCTATCGGACAGATGTTTCTAATTCCCATTATCTAGTAAAATAGTATTTTGAAGAAAGAAAATGATAAATACAACTACACATGACCATCATTGAATGTATTCCCGAGTAATGCTATTCTTTATTATAATTCTCAGGTATGTCGATAATTCTCTCTTTGTGCCTCTAATCTGAACTTCTTTTTCTTATAGCATCTTAGGTATTGTTGACTATTTCTATATGATTTATTCTCACATATCTACTGTCTAGTTCGAGTTAAAGCACAATCATGTCAAGGACTAGCTGAATATTCTCAGTGTTCATCGAATCCTGCCTGTAGATGTCTAAGATTAACAGCCGATGCCAATAGAGGAATCTGTGGTTTTCTGTATGTCACTTGTTCAGAACTAGTATCGTGTTCTGGTGAAAATCGAACATGTTTTACACCCGATCATGTCTGTGTTCAACATCCACAATGTCAAGCACTTCCTCTATGTTATCCAATGCGCATGGCTACCAATACCATGTGTCCACCGCTACCAGAAACAACAACAACAAGTAATAAGGCACTGTTCGGAAAGAGTGGAATTTACGAAAAAAGTGCCCCTGTAGGGCATCAAAAACGTTTTCGTCAGAAACAAAGTCAGAAACCTGACGGCGCTCTTTCCGAACAGTCCTAAGTGAACTGATCAAGATTTAGATATATATCTCTCTTCACTTTGTAGCTCCACTTCCAGACGGAATCTGTGCACAGGCAATATGGTCACGAAATGGTATTACTGTTGCTGGAGGAAATGGAATTGGTGGTAAATTGAATCAACTTGACTTTGCGACCGGACTGTTTATCAATGAAGATGATGGCTCGATCTATGTTGCCGATCAATCGAATCATCGAGTGATAAAATGGGATTCACCAGAAGTCTCATCATCTAATAATGGTGTGGTTGTGGCCGATGGACAAGGCACTGACAATGGTATATTTTATCCCATTGATCTTGCTATTGACAAGAATGGAACAATGTTCATTTGCGATTATGGAAGTAGTCGAGTCATTCGATGGCCACAAGGTGCTTCTAATGGAGAAACATTTATTTCAAATATTTCTTGTGCTGGTTTGATGATTCATAATGATCAATTTTTGTACGTCACTGATTTTCGTGAACATCGTGTCACTCGATGGCATATTGGAACAAATGGAGGTGGAGAAATTGTCGCTGGTGGACATGGACAAGGTTCAGATTTCAATCAACTCAATCAACCGTACTATTCATTTATTGATAAAGATCGATCCGTTTTTGTGGCCGACCATCTCAATAATCGAATAATGAAATGGATTGAAAACGCACAAGAAGGCATTGTGATTGCTAGTAGAAATGAATCAGACAATGGAATGAATCAGTTAAGTATTCCTACTTCAGTCGTTGTTGACCAAATGGGTTCGATTTACGTGACTGACACTTCGAATAACCGAGTGATGCGTTATTTAAAAGGAAGCAAAGAGGGTATTGTAATTGTTGGAGGGGATGCATCAGGTAATGGACCTGATCAACTCACTGAACCTTTTGATTTATCATTTGATCGAAAGGGTAACTTGTACGTAGTCGATTTGTCGAATTATCGTGTTCAAATGTTCAAAATTGACAAATCTGCATGTGAAAGAATTCATTCTTAAATAAATGTTGTTGTATTACTAAAGTATACTCAATCCATGAACTAAAGAGGCATGACAGGGATCCTCTCGATTCGTCCCAAATTAGTTAATTAGACGATTCTCCTCTTAAATATTTTTCCCAATTTGTACCTTACATAAACAGATCATTCTTAATTGATTCTCAATTCGTCCCTTCCATGATGACTATTGTATAATGATTGCATCATCATATATAGTACAATATTTAATTTTTTCTTTCTTTGTTTTCTCTTATGTATACATTACGCATGGAACATGAGAACCAACATCATGTTCCTGAACAGAGTCAGATTCGATCACGAAGACGTAAAAAGATTTACGATCAAACTGATATAAAACTTGCTATGCTGCATGAAGAACACAAGAACAAACAATTGAGTGATGTTCAATTGGCTATACAATGTGGTCGTGCTGTCAAGACATGACTGTTCTAAAAGTGACAATAGAAATTTATTCTTCAATATTATTGGTACTATAGCGTAATTTTTTTTTTGATAAAGCTCTACGATACAAAAACATTAGTACTTGATTGCTAACCAACTAGGAACGCATTGAGATGGGACGAATTGAGAAAAACATTTAAGAGGAGAATCGCATAATTGACTAATCTGGAACGAATCGAGAGTAAACCGGCATGACAGAATATTTGATTAATGAAACGCAGTGATTTCAGTTGTTTCTCATGATGTTTGACTATGTCATTTATCTACAACTCCAATGTAAGAGAAACTCACCTTTCAATTGAAAAACTTATCATTGATTTTAGATTAAAATTATCATGTTATCAAAAAATCTACAGCAATTGATGTGTACCAAAAGACATCATTTAACAGAAGGAATAAAATATTCAAGGAAATAGCATATTGGCAGAAACAACTATAATTATCGAGACCAAAGCTGGTAACTGGAAATCTTAGTTCATCAAAAACTGTCTGCCATAAAAAGTACTGAGATTATTATTGATAAGAACTCTAAATATAGATAGAAGTATCATAGTTCACTAACATACCATTGATCAATAGAAGAATATGATCACATTTTGTCACTGTGTTCAGTTGGTGAAACATGCTCATAACATTTCGATCTTGAAATTTATTATTAATAACTTCTTGAATGAGATCATCTGTTTTTTAATAAAAGTTAGCTGTTGCTTCCTCGATCAATAAATATGTTACTTTTCTTCAAAATAGCTCGTGCAAGATTTATCAATTGATATCAACACTCTAACTTTTACTTCATTCAGCAATAATTATTCGAAGACTTACTGAATGATTGCTAATGAATTATTTGAGCTGAATACTTTCGAATGTTTTCAAACACTGTTTATCAGAATAAAGATTGAAACCATCGATGATGACCTTGGTTGAATGTGCGTATAAATGCTTCCATGGAATGTGAAGTGACAATTTGTCTGAACATTCCGATTAAATTCATCGAACAAACAGCAATAGATCGGAACTTATGAAGATAACCAGCAGTAACCGTAAATGGAAGGTTGACATTGACCTATTTTTATGAAAACCAATAGATGGATGTTTATTGATTATGTAGAGACTTACGAGTGCATTTTGTTTCAGAGCAAAATTTGTGAGACCAACATCGCCTGAAAATGCACATCATTGATGAATTTGAACTAATGACTACACTTACCATGCCATAAGTCAATTTTCAACTGTTTAGAATCTAAATTCTTGATATAATCTCCCAAAAATTTATCAATCAAATAGACAGCGAAATGTGCAAACACTATTGCGATGTTGTTTTCAAAATAGTATGTCGATCATTGAGCAGACCAAAGAGAAAATTTTATATCAATGTGAATCTAGAAGCGGATAAATGAATCATCAATATGGAACCTTTCGTTGTCATCGATTTCTCTTACATTAATTAATGTGACGAGTACGGATCTACTGCGATATAAATATATTCATGCAAAAGACGCAGAATGCGAAAGAATGAGAGGGCCATTGGTAATGCACAGAAAGAAAAAAAAGAGTCGCACTACGTGATAAGATATAAGCTCAAAGCGAGGAAAAAGAAATGGAACGATGAAAAAAAGAGTTCGGAATAATATATATGAGTGCATTGTTGAGAAGCAAATTCCGTCTGTCATTGATAGAGTGTAGCTCATGAAATAGTTATGTTCTTTTGTACTACTAAAATCAAATCCATATGATGTGTCTTGAGTACCTGTCGTTCTATTGATAGATAATGGTGAAAGACATATAAAAACTATTAGAATTTGTCCAACTTCCAAGAAAGAAAAATTATATTGGAAGGTTTCCGTTTTGTTTCCAGATACTATTCTAATGTATTATATAAATTGGTTTTTTCGAAACGCTGAGCCGTCAAAAAAATTAGAAGCACTATTTAGTTTGCTTATAAATTTAATATTGATAAAGTTGTTAGTTTTTATTCCTAACGACAAAATTCATCAATACTCTTGAAAAACTATAACCGATGTTTGCAATATAAAACAAATGTCAAATCATGCCGGTATCAATTCATATTGTTGACAACTCTCGCAAGGTTGGGTGTGGGTGTTATTCAAATACGTCTATCACATCACACTACCTTATGTGCAGAGAGCACTACGCTTTTTTTTTTCAGGCGTCTTATGCAATACATATGATCATATAGTGGTACTTGTGGTTGCTTTATTCGGTGTGATAGTAGTAAACGTATTATATATACATGTACGAGAGTGCCAACACGCTTTTGTACTTTCTTCATTTTCTCGAAAACAGTCCTCCTACTACTCAGTCAACAGATATTTGAATATTAGAATAAAACAGCATTGCCTATTGGATTGCACATGTCATTTGCACGGATTATATTTGACAAGAGATCAGACATGAAAGATCAATGCGAAAAAATTATCATGAAATTTCGCGTGCTTAGCTTTATCATTCGAGCGCAGAACTCCATAAAGAATACTTGAAGTTGAGGGTGAACTACAAAATCTATGAGCAAATTGTGACGCGCGGGGGAGTGAAATTTTGATATTGATCAACGTGGCATAAATTTTAATCGATGTATCATCAAACACGAACTTTGCCGTTGTCAATTACTACATCCATAAATTCTTTCTCTTCAACACTTGCACTCTCATAGGTGAGTTGATTGGTTACGTCAAGTGGATGTGTAGGGTGTGGATGAGTGTACATCTCTTCTTCAAACAGACTCAGACACGCAGAGACACATTTATACCCAGACACATCTACACCCTCGTTTCTTTTCTGAGATCATATGTTTATCAACTGTCCACATGATTTTTTTGGAGAAAACAAGAGTCAATAATGAATTTTTTAATGAAAAAACTGCTTCATTTTTTCAAGTTATAATTTTATTACACTAAAAGAAAGCTCTGGGAAAATGCGTCTTCTAACATAAGGATTCCAAAAAAAACATCAGAAGACTTATCAATTTTTTGAATAAAGTGCATACTCCATGTCCTTTGTATGCTGATTCTAGTGTATTTTCAGTCAGAATTTAATCTAAAATTTGACTCAACGAGCATGAGATATAACAAGTAGAATATAGAAGCCGAATCTATAATCACTATTCCTGCTTGAAAATGTTACTTCCATTTTCATTTCGAATGACTGAAATATGCAAGAAGCTTCCCAAGACACAGTCCTATGATAAACATGTTGTTGATATTTTTGACGTAGTATCTTGCATTTATAAAATATTCATTGATACAGTCTGCCCGTAGAAAACTAGGGTCATTACTATCCTATTCTGTATCTTTCTTCTATTTGAAAATTCTCTCACTTATATGAAAAATCTTTCGACTAATAAATCTCTTTCAAGTCCAAACTACGTGCATAGTGTACATACAAATGCGATATGAGCACCTGACAATAGCTCGAACTGTTAGCTTATTGTTACGTCGGTGTAGGAGTACGTTTGCATGTGAATCTTGTCTTCTACTTTACACACACACACCCATTTCAGCGGCACCAGCAACAAACAAATATATACTGAGTACAATTGATCGTATTTTAGAAGCAAAAAAGCACTAAGTGAATTATCTATCCTTTGTTTTGTTGTAGAATGTAAGATGATCTTTGTTTTTGTTTCTGTTCACGGGAGAAAGCAAACACTATATTATTAGATACACGGAACAAACATTCTTTTTTTTATCTATTTTTTAACTGTGTTAGGAGATGTAACACTCGAAATTGCTTTCATGATGATGGATAAAGAAAGAGAAAAAAATTTTCAAAAAGAAAAAATGGAGATATTTAAACAGTCTTGAACATTGTGAGCGCAAAGCGTTTCACAATTTGTCACCAATGTAATTATGACAAGTATTGGCTTACGTTTGCAAAAAACATCAAGAGAATAGATAAAAGCAATAACACACATATTTTTGAAGAAAAATATTTTGATAAGAAGAAGCAAGAAGAAAAAATACTAAATGCATATACGAGTTAATATTCGTGCCTCTTTTTCTTTATGTTCAATGCAAAGTTCATGCCTGATTTATCAAGTCTTTTGAATCACACAAGAATCTAGTAGGCATAATCTTGGCTCACAAGCCAAGAAAGCTCGAATCTGAGAAACATCTTGCAATTCTTCAAAATTAAGTCTGATTCTTTTGAGAAATACAAACTGGAAGGAGTGTTGAAAGACTATGGCAGACGCTGTTAGTATACGATCACAGAACATATATGACTTGTATCTAGTTATAATATATGAACTATTTTCTACCCATATCCATACCTTTCATGACTTATACGACTATGCCCAACACATAATGAAATCTTATCTTATCAAATGCATGACACAACTGATGTAAGCAAACAAGCAAATTTTCTTTTCTAGTGTAGTCATTTTCGACATGTTTTTGCTTCATCGTTGGATATTTCAAAAGACGAATATACCAGAAGATGGGCATCAAAACAGTTCTGTATTGTACGAGAAATATGAATCATTGGACAAAAGGAGTAATTCAATCAAGCATCGGCAATGTA